CTTTTGAATATCATAATGCATATTATTTAATGTATTATATTTTTTATATTTATTTATTATTTTTTTTAAAAAAAAAAAATCATACAAATAAAATAGTATAATTGACTTTTTATGTTAACATAATAGTTATAATAAAGTTTTTTTAAATATCATTTTATCAACCAATAATATTTTACAAAAATTAATCACGTGATCTACAAAATTAGCAAATCATAACAAAAGTTCGCTATGCTATATAGTCAATAAATCTAATATAAACCTCTCTCCAGAAAATCTGCTTTCATTACATTTACTTCTTAAAACTATCTATCTAGAAACAAATTTTTTTACTTTTAATAATAACAGATAATGGATAACAAGTGGAAGAGTGCAAAGTTGAAATTATAAAATTTTTTCACTGATAGCAAAATGTGTGATGCAATCAAAAGGTCAACTTCTAGGGATGAATATGAAGAACCGACTTGAATATTTCGAAGGAGATGATGAAGAAATTAAGGCTTCCCTTAATATACTTCTATTTGGTAAAGTTAAAAATTTTTTTAATCTTTATTATGTGATTGCGACACTTGTGACTAAATTTTTTTCGATAATCTAATCCAATTTAGATGAACATTATAGTAAGCCTTTGTGTCATAATGATTGGTCAACTCAAACATGATGCGCTTATCTTTATTGTCCATTTTACGTGTCTAGGCAAATCTGTGAAAAAAGAGGCTAATAAATTCTGGAAAAATCTTAATAGAGCAAAAATCATTTTCTAACTGAATGAACCATTTAACTCTGAATATCTCGAATAGTTTGAAATCAAAGAGAATAGGATTTAGAATTCAACCTGCGACCTAGAATATCTCCTAAAGATAATACATATGCTTGTAAGAAAAAAGATATTAATCTCAAAACGGATGTATGGTCAGATATATTCAAAGATCTTATAGGAGTTTTGTGCCTATCAGATAACATTTTTTTCTGGGTGATGAAGGATTAGGATCATTCCTTATAATTCGAGACTGCTACAAAGAACTCATTATTAAGATGTTTAAACAGGATATATTCAAATTTGAATGTATTATCACAGGTACACCTGCCATAGGTAAAATATATTTTGGGCTGTACCTTCTATATTACATTCATTTATATCATCCAAATACTATGATTATTTGGCAATTAGCCGATTCGGATATTCACTAATGCTATCAATTTATGCCAGACGGTAACGTTCTAGTTGGAGGTATAGAACAATTTTATGATTCAATTTCAAACAAGAACAACTATTACATTGTAAATGCTCAGAAACCTGAGCAAAGTATCGCATATGTTATTCTGTTAACATCACTGAAAGCAAAGTTATACAACTCTCTATAGAAGTCAGAAGGTATTACCAAGTACTACATACTGATCTGGAACGATGAAGAAATAATTATATTATAGAACGTCCGTTATAAGAAAATGAAGGGTGAAAATAGAGATACATTTACATATGAAAAATTTGAGATGTTGATGAAAGATGAGGTTTAATACCTCGAATCCTTAAGAAGTAAAAAGATGAATTATATAGCGAAACAGAGTTTGATAAACTGATCAATGAAGTTGATCTTATAAAGTATTTAAAGTCTGTCAATAAGATAGGAATGTCAAAGAACTCTGCAAGTGGCAGACTTATTCATATTATTGTAGAACCAAACTTTAGAAAATATAAATTTTGTTTTGCTTTATCATTTGTTTCAGATAGTTTGATAAATGCCTATAAGCGTTACCATCATTCTAGCGTTCGTGATTTTCTTCAAAGCAGTTACAGTGAGCTGAAAGCTTCTAGACTTCGAGGTAACCTTTGTAAGGATTATGTCTATAGGTAATTGCAAAAGGACAGTACATTTAGAATTTGCAAACTTATTAGAGAAGAGATCTTAACAGAGATAGTGAATAAAGAAATAGACAATCTATGTTACAATTGGTTTGATACGCCGAAGGATGTACACTCCTAGCTAAAAAGTTTAGGATCACCTTGTGATCTGCAAATGATCTGTGATAAATAAATTATTACACATTTGTATAACCTAAATTTTATGCTATATGACAATCAATAAATACGTCATAGACATACATATCTTTTTTTTGTTCTTTCATTTTCATTTTTCACAAAAATGGTTAAAAATAGAGAACTTACGGACTTTGAACATAGAAAAGTTATCAGTTTTTATAAAGCTGGTGATTCAGAAAGAACCATTTCGAAAAAAACGGGCTTTAGAAAAACCACTATTCATAATATCATAGCAAAGTACAAAAAAACAGATGCTGTTAGTATTGCTCCAAGAAGTGGAAGACCAAAATTATTAACTGAAAGAGACAAACAACATCTTAAAACTATTATAACCAGAAATCGATGTGAACCAGTAAATAATATAGTGCTGAATCTACAGGAAAAGTAATATGTAAGAATATTATGAAAAGTACATTGTATGAAATGGGATATAATAGTTATACTGCTCTTAGAAAACCTAATGTTAGTGAGCGCAATTGAAAAATTCGTTTAAATTGGGCTTGTAAAAGACATTTATAGTCCATAGATAATTGGAAAAAAGTATAATGAAGTGATGAATCTAGGTTTACATTATTTCAAAATGATGGAAAAATCTGAGTTTGGCGTCTTCAAGAAGAAAAATATAATATTAACTGCCTTGTTCCTACTGTCAAACATGGCGGAGGTGGCATTATGATGTGGGGTATTTTTCGTGATATAGGTTGGGTCTATTACTAATGGACCATTAGTAAGGATAGATGGTCAAATTAATAGCAATAGATATATTAAAGAGATTCTCACCTATCACGTGATATCATTTTTAGAGGAGTTTGAAGAGAATAATGGTGAATATTTTTTTCAACAAGATAATGCACCGATCCATGCTAGTGCAAGTACACTTAATTTTATTGAAGAATTTTGCTGCCATAGCCTGGTCAAATTCCAGACCTTAATCCAATTGAACATTTTTGGGATGAGCTTGAATGTCGTATTCGATCTAAACAAAAACATCCAAAAAATCTGGGAGAATTAGAGGCGCTTCTACAGGAATGCTGGTCTGAAATTTCATGTGAGGTTTATCAAAAGCTGGTTGCAAGTATGAAAAATCGGGTAGAAGCTGTGATAAAAGCATGTGGTTATTCCACTAGATATTGATGAATACTTTAATAAATTTTTATGGAGGTTAACATTATAAAATTAATTTATTAATTTATTTTTTTTTGAAAAAAATAACGATTTTTTATTGTTAGACTTTAGTAATAGTAAAAATATTTAATTTTGCAAGATTTTGGGCCGGGTTTTTTGCATTATGTTATATATAATATAACATTTAATAAACATAGCATTTGCGCAATACATACTTAATAAAAAA